TCGTCTTCCTTGGATTGCCCAAGTTCTGCAAGAAGGGACAGCGTGGGCTCTCCTGGCCTTTTATTTGGGGAGCGGAGGTCCCTGTGGCTGAGTTGGGCAGCCATAGAAACCTATTTAACAAAGAATAAACAAACAAACGCCGGCTTTGTCCCTGAAGATTTGATATAGTCTGACACCTAACACAAATTCCCCATTTTGGAATTCCCTTTGAAGTGCAAATCTCACGGCTGTCCGGGTGGTTAAGGCTTTCTGCTTTTTCTCCAGCACCTCTTTTTGTAACACTTTGCCTCCTAAACAAGTTGAGAGCTGGCAGGATCTCTTGTGCCATCCGGCTGGTGCTAACAGCGAAGCCAGCAAGGGAAGCTGGAGAAAAGCCGCGCCTGATGCTGCAGGAGAGCTGGCCCGCCCTAAGAAGGAAGGCTCCGAGGGGGGTCGCAACAAGGGCGAGAGGACCCCGGTCCAGGGAACAAAACCCAGCCTGCTGTTGCACACCCCACCCAGAAGGCCATCCGAGTGAGCCTTCCCAGGTCCAGACCGACAGTCACGCCTCCCCCCGACCCCCATTTCTGCTTCTCTCTGGCGGTAGTCTGGATTTGGGGAAAGGGCTCCCGCAGTCCTAATTTGGAACTTGCGCGGGGCATCTTCCCAGCGGATCCCATTCCCGCCGTTGATGTAATTGCCGCAGTGGCCATCGGAGTGCCCCGCTCTCGTCTCCCAGAGCAGGGCGCGACACGACGCACCTCTAGGAGAGGGAAGGGCACACGCGTTGTCGCTTAGGGTTTTCTGTGCAGACGTGAAGCTAACGATGCTGTAAGCACCACTGAGTTTCTTCAGCTGCGGGTGATGAAACCGATGGTGTCATCGCCAGAAATTTGCTGGAAAATGTCCACTTCAGTCATAATATCAATGTTAGGCTGATGGGATTAATCAGTTCATGTTAACACGGTGATTATCCTAAAGCAAAGAAGGAACATTTCAAAAGAGCAATCCAGACTGAGAAAGTGAGGCAAAACTGTTTGGGCTTCCAGAGAGTTCACGGTTGAATTATCACAAAAGTCTCTTTATTCAAAGCAGATGCTTATTACGATTAATTTAGTGTGAAAAGTGAACCAACATGCCTATAACCAAGACTGTCTCCTCAATTATGTAATAAGACACCTCCTCATTATATCCACCACGGATGATTGTTATTTTCCTAGGGGCTCTATAGCCACAGTTTGCCAAAATCCTCCTCCTCCTCCTCTTCTTCCAGTGTTTTCGATGGTATCATACTTCAGAGGGTAAGCCAAATGACCAGTAACAAAAGAATTCAAATAAACATCAAATTAAACAAACAAAAGAAGGCATTGTTGCTGTCTCTGTTCTGCTTTTCTCCTCCTAAGAAAGGGTGGGCCTGAGCCCCCTCCGCCCAGCAGAGCGAAGGGCCCTTCAGCCGCGTTCTCCCCCCCCCCCCCTTACACTCACACCCGTCCCCGTCACCCCGTGCAGAGCCCGCTTTCCTCGCCTCTTTTGCCCAGGAGCGCCTGCAGGGCTCGCAGCTCAATCATCCGCCCTTTGGCTGGGGCTCCCCGGCCCTTGTGAGGCATCCACAGCGGCTCGGGGCTACCGTGAGAAGAGCGAGCCTTGGCCTGGGAAGGCGGGGCAGATGCCTGCCAGACGGCCCTGCCCCGGGAGCTTCAGGCCCCCAGAGAGCGCGGGGCCCCTGGAGCGAGTGGGGAGGGTTCCCACTAGGCCACCTTGCTGGGAGGGGAGAGAAGGCAGGAGGAGACCGGCGCAGGCAACTCGTGTCTCCTGCAGGGCAGCCTCCGGGGGGGAGACCGGCAGCTGCTCCAGGGGCAAACACGCAGGGGCCGGAACCCCCTGGCCGGCCCCGGAGGCGCCCCGGGCTACCTCCGCGTCGCCGGGTCAGGGGACAAACGCCCGGGCTTTAGGGACGGCGCTTGCAATACGGAGACTCTTTCGGCTCGGCTGTTTGTTTCTTTCGGCTCCCTCTAGTGGCCCCACAAACACACCGATTCTTTTTTCCCTCCCGACTTGAATTCCAGGAAAAGCTCCCGTTTAAACTTGCAAAGGGGTCTGGGGGCCCCATCTTTTATTGGCAGCTCTGGCCGGCGCTCCAGAGAGCCCCCCCCCCGATCCTTCTCCAGAAGGAGAACTCCCTCGGGTGGGGTTTCCAAGAGACCCTTTTCGGAGGCCAGTCGTGGAGGGGGAGGCAGGCAGGGGAGACGTTCCCTTCTGGCTTCCCCAGGCCCCGGCAGACCAGGGGTGGCCTGGGGACAGGAATAAACTTCGTTTGGAGGGAGGAGGCAGCCTTTCCTCCTCCTTCTCCTCCTCCAAGTGACAAAATTTATGTCTGCTGAGATTTCCATGTGTCCAGTCACACTTGGCCAATAAAGAATTCCGTCCTATTCTATAGTAATTCCGTTCTGTTCTAAAGTCTGACTGGAGATATAAATATTTCAGTGACAGAGTGTGTGTGTGTGTGTGGAGAAAGACCACAGATGATGGATGATCCAACTGATCGATGGAGACGGGTAACTGAAGAAAGAGTTTGGTGATCTCAGGCTCTAAGCCAGTGTTTCTCAACCTTGACCATTTTAAGGCATGTGGACTTCAACTCCCAGAATTCCACAGCCATTAACGCTGGCTGTGGAATTCTGGGAGTTGAAGTCCACATGCCTTAAAATGGTCAAGGCTGAGAAACACTGCTCTAAATGTAGAATTCTGGTTGGATTGATTCATGAATACTTGAAGTTTGGAAAAAACCTACAGCAAAAATCGAAACATTAAGATCTTTTGTATCCTGGCATACTTACTTATATTTTGTATTTCTTAACTGCCCATCTTCCTTGCATAATGTCCGTTATTGATTTATGTATGTACATAAAACTTGATGTATGTTGAGCAGGGCATGCGATGGTTCCACCTGCTGAATCCAACATAGGAAGGAAGCGAAGACGTTGTGCTCAAGTAGCCTTAATGCAAGTCTAGTGCAGCCTCATCTCATCCTGATGATTCTGCATGGATTTGGTGTTGTTTGTGGAACTGAAAACAAAACCTTTCTAAACCTGGAATTGGGCCAGAACTGAGAGCAAAATTAAAAAACGCTTGCCTCTTTTCCCCATTTCATCTTGCAAGTGGCAAAATGTCTCCCAGGCTTTTCATTCTTTGTGTAAAATGTCTGTACTTAAAGTTGGGATGTCACCATAGTGAAACAGACAAGTGAAGAGTTTGTTTCTTGCTGCAGCTTCCTCTTCTTTCGGGGTGAGGTTGTTGAGGTTCCCCCTTGGGAACATCTTGGCATTTCCCATCCTACAGGTGTGCATTTCATTCCTAAGCAAAGAACTCTGCCCCTGCTTAACATACCTTTACTTTCAGCCTGTTTCTCTAACCCTTATCTATCCGTGTAATGTTGATATATATTTTCCTCTTCTAAAGTAGCAGCTCTCATTTGTGTCTCTCAACCTGCAAATTCAAAAGGCAGTTTCTCCACATCTTCGTCCAAGACACAAATAAAGAGATAGAAAAGCAGCATGGGAAGCCTGCTTGATGCAAAAATGGATTGTGAACACAAGTATGCAAACCTCGTGGGAGCGAGCCAGACCTCCTGGGCTGCTGCCATCCATTTCAAGAAGACTCTGGAGTACAAGCCCCATGCTTCCCAACAGAGCCCACGAGGGTCTTGTTTCTTGCGTGCTCTGCACAAAGTTCAGGGAGTTTGATAAGCAAGATGTTTGCCAGCTTTCCTGAAAATAATTGGTTTTCACTTCTACAAAATTAACTCAGCTTATTTTGAACAGAACTGCATCTGATATTACTGAGAAAAGAAAAAAAATTCCTAACAATGTTCAAGGATTGTTTCTTTTGCTGACAAACCTTGATTTCGAGGGAGCAGAGTAAGCCATCTCTCTCTAAAATAAAATTTAGTATTAAGATTGACCATTGCGAGCTAATCTTCCCATGCCAGAAAAGTATGGAACAAATAAAACACAATGTTATTACTGGATCAGGGAAAAATAACTTGGTTCCTGATCAAGGAGAGAAGCAACCTAGAACTAAGGAGAAACTTCCTGACAGTTAGAACTATTAACCAGTGGAACAACCTGCCTCCAGAAGCGGTGAATGCTCCAACACTGGAAGTTTTTAAGAAGAGACTGGACAGCCATTGGTCTGAAATGGTATGGGGTTTCCTGCCTGAGCAGGGGGTTGGAGTCGATGACCTCCAAGGCCCCTTCCAACTTTTTTTTTATTATTATTATTATTATTATTATTATTATTATTATTATTATTATTATTATTATTATTATTATTATTTGCTACGACTGGTGTCTCTGAACAATGGGGATCATCACTAAAGCAGTAAAGCGTAATTCCCTGGGATTGTATCTTATAGTTTACAAAAGAATATATAATTCTTTGTGCAAATCGAAGCCAACGTTCTTCCTCTGAGACTTTGCTTATCAGAAGGTCTCAAAAGGGGATCGCGTGACCCCGGGACTGTCATAAATGTGAGTCAGTTGCCAAGCCTCCGAATTTTGATCACATGACCACGGGGATGCCGCAAAGGTGTGAAAAACGGTCATAAGTCACTTTTTTCAGTGCTGGTGTAACTTTAAAAGGTCACTGAATGAGCTGTTGTAAGTGGAGGACAACTTAGCAGTCCTCAGACAAATCCCTGTAGCCAAAGATGCTGCGCAGCGCCCCCCCCCCTCCGGTCCCCCCATCTGCTCAGGAGGAGGAGGAGGAGGAGCTGCCCGGGAAGTTCCCCCGCCCCACCCGGGGGATCGGGGTCCGCGGGGGGGGCCTTCTCGGCCGGACCCCCTCCGGGGCGCCCAAACTCCCCTCCCACCCCTCCCCCACCCCAGGCTCCCCCTCCCCCCGCCCGGCAAGAGGGCAGGCCCCTCCCCTTTGGGCCGGAAGGAGCGGGGGGGGGAGGACTGCGAGGGGCCCCTCCCCTCCCTGCCCGCGTCATGGCGGCGGCGGCGGACATCACGGCGCTCTTCAAGGCCTCCGTGAAGACGGTGAAGACGCGCAACAAGGCGCTGGGCGTCCCTCCCGGAGGAGCCGAGCCGGCCGCCCTGTGGCCCAGGCGAGCCCCCGGGGGACGGGGAGGCTTCTCCGCCCGGGCCCGCGAGGTGGTGAGTGTCGGGAAGGGAGGGCCGAGGCGGAGGAGGAGGAGGCCCCGCAGGCGCCCCGGCCTCGCGTAGGCCGCTCCGCCCGGGGACCTCGCGGGGCTGGGGAAGGCCGGGGCTGCGGGGGTCCGCGGGGGCAGAGAGGGGGGCGAGGGGTCTCCTCCTCTTCCCCCTCCTCCTGCTGCTGCCGCTGCTGCTTCGGGGAGGGCGGGCGGGCGGGCGGGGGGCTTCGCTCGAGGCCGAGGGAGGGGGGCCCGGCGGGACTGGGCTGCGGGGGGAGGGCGCCGGGGGGCTCCCCTCGCTCGCCCCCTCGGCCTCTCTTTCTGCGGGGGGGGGACGAGGACGAGGAGGAGACCCACCCCCAATAATCCCCCGGCCCGGCCCTGGAAGAAGGCGGTTCCCTCGCATCCCGGGGGGGGCTGGGGGCGGCCGAGGGGGAGGGAGGGAGGGAGGGAGGGAGGTCCGGAGAGAGGAGCCCCGGCAGGAGGAGCAGGAGGGAGCGGGAGCGGCCTCTCCTCCTCCCTCCTTTCGGAGCTGCAGGAGGCCGAAAGGCCGGGGCGTCGTCTTCGTACAGCGGGTGGCCCGTTTGGGGGGTGGGGGTGGGGTGGGCGCCAGGCGTGCCGGACGGGAGCCTGGATTTGGGCTCCTGGGGGCCCTGCCGGTGTCTCTGCCGGTGGCCTGGATGGAGTGCGAGGAGCAGACCCTGGTCAGCCCAGGCCGAAGAGGACCAGGCATTTGTCCATCTGGCCTTCACAGCTTGGCCTTCTGTGTTTTGTGTTGGAGAGTAGTGATGTGCAGAATTTGTCAGTTTAAAAGATTTTAAAAGTTCTAAACGTTCCATTTCCTGTTCTGATAACTTTAGATTTCTTTTATTTATTATACATATAATAAGGCGGCAGTGCTAAATGCTCATGCTTTTTTCCTCCCAAAGCAACCAATAGGTGAAAGCAGCTCAGATAACCCCCAGGGTGGTCACAAAGCGGGTGGTTAACAAATTCAGAACATCTGTTTTGAACTTGAATTGTTGCAACTGTTTCTCATGTGAGTGGAGATACTTTCCACCTTCTAGTTAAGGGAAAAGCCGGTACAGTTTGCGGAAATATAATCGCGGGGTCCTGCGTTCTCTCCAGAAAATATGCATAGACTAAAATCACAGTCCCTTACGTGGTTAGTGAATGGTATACTGTAGCTGCATGTTGGCTTCCTTAATTAGCACGATAGCCTTCAAGTATCTTCTTTCCCAAATCCTGGACTGCCTCTTCCAAATGCTTAGTTCCAATGAAACACCGCATTTCCTCCTTTGCCTTGTATCTGCTTTCTTGCTTCCCTTTTTTCACTGCTGTTCCCGGTGCTTTCCTGCATTCCTTCTGTCGTCCCCATCGGCACCCTTTTTCCCAGGAAGAGGAAGCTGAGGTCTTGGCGGCCCCTGAATGGCGGCTGTTCCATCAGCCTGTCAAAACTTGTGATAAGGATGGACCTGCTTTTCTTTTTTTCTCCCGCCATCACTCCCTTTTTTCAGGTTTGTCAAGCTTGGAAAACTTTGTTAAAAACCTCACTCATTACTGATATTTGCAGGGTGAAAATAACTTTTGATAAATATTTGAATATGCCATTCTGAAAAGTGTGATTTGCCAATAGAGATTTAAAGTGAGATGTGATGGGTTTTATAATAAGAGCAGATTGCAGCTGGTGTTTTGCTGTACTGAAAGTAACAGTTTCATTTCCTGGTTCCTGCCTTTCCAGGGGCCAATGTTTCTGTGTCCAGAGGAAGGCAGAATCGGATTTTACCTAGTTACTATTTGCAGAATCGCAGTACAGCTACTCCTGGACCTTAATCTGTAGTGGTCACGAGTATTCAAAGTTACAACAGCACTGAAAAAAAGTGACTTTTGACTGTTTTTCACACGACCCTTGCCACATCCCCCATGGTCACGTGATCCAAATTCAGACACCTGGGGGCAACCGTGTTCCAAGGTCATGTGAACACCTTTTGTAACTTCCTAACCAGCAAAGTCAATGGGAGGAGCCAGATTCACTTAACAACCGTGTTGCTAACTTAACTGCAGCGATTCATTTAACAACTGTGACAAGGTAATAAAATGGGGCAAAACCCACCTAACAAATATCTCATTTAACAACAGAAATTTTGGGCTTGATTGTGGTCATAAGTCGAAGACCTCCTGAATGCTTGTTTTAAGTTTGCAAAATCCACTTCGAGAGGCTGGTGAGCGGCTGCTGCGTTCTGCAGCACCTCCGTTTTAATTTTAACGTAGACATCCCTCCTATCTCTCCCTGTGTGGCTGCTGAATTTCTGGAAAAAGTTTTAGTTCAGGCTCTCCTCCGTTTGTTCGTGGCTGAAGTCCTATTTATTCTGGTATAACCATGTAACTTAAACAATGCGATCAAATTGCTTTACCCTGCATATTTTTCACATGTATCTGTTATTTGTGGCAATACCGTAATTGTTATATCACTTATTCGTGGGGAATATTTTGAAAACCTAGCATAAAGAAGGAAATGTGCTAAAATTATTCTTTTTAAAGAAAAACGCCCAAAAAGCAATAAAGCTACAATAACAATTAAGTTATTGGATTCTGCAATAAAGTACATTTATCTCAGATTATTTAAAAATTAAGAGCCAATCAGATTTAAGCAGTAAATTAAATTGTGGCAATGAAGAAACACTGTGTAGATATGCTATACAGTCTAATAGTTTTGGTGCCTAAAATAGTTTGACTAGAATTATATAATCTTTATGACCGGTTTGTTACATTTGTATGAGAACAGTAATTGTACAATCCATACAGTGTACATAGAAATTTGTTTTTTGTAATTTGTTTCTGATTTGAGTATAAAAAAATGACACATCCCACATGAATTCTATTCAGTGATTTGAAGCAACAGTTCTTACTTTATACATTTAAAAAAAAGGTGCCTCTATTTCTGTTTGTATTGCAGCAATTTGCCAGATATATTTAGCAGGTTACTGTTTTCTTCACAGGGCTGTGAAAATGCTCCACTGGTGGGTCTTCTCTGGGCGGCCCCGCCCTCAAAGATTAGGCGGCTGACTGTCAGAAAAGGACGGCGTATTCTATGGGGCGGCCCTCCTGCCCGCCCTCCTGCCCGGAACAAGGGAGGCCCAGAGTAGTTCTTGTGGCGGGGAAAAAAAATAGGACCCCAGATTGCCTGCTTGGCCCTTTTTCACTTCTTAACAGGTGGTTTTAGCAGCCTGATTAGTTTTTATCTGGCTGTTTATTATTTCGTATTTTAAAGAGGCTTTTGGCTGAAACCAGCATGTCTGAGCCCTTTTTATGAAGAGAAAATTTATCAGTATGGATTGATTGCAGTGGACATCTCAGGCCATCGTTTGAGACGAACAAGCCTTTACTTTGGTATTGTGGAAAAATAGTTGAGTTCAGAATTCAGTATTAGTTGTTACTTCTTTATAATTTATGCTTGAGGATGCCATACGTAGCTTAAAAAGATAGTACGAATAACCCAAAGATATGATCGTAATACAATATACCATTATAACATAATAGTTAAAAGTAGACTAAATAATGCAGCAAATAAGAACAGCAGCAATTAAATGGAGGATAACAAGGACATAATCAGTAATTTTATCGAGAAAAGACTGGCGAGTAGATATTCATTTATTATTTATAAATCGTATTTACATAGCCGCCCATCTTACAATCAAGTCACTCAAGTGTTCATGTAATTTGATTCTAAAGTATACATTGTGGGAGACAGTTTTTGTAATGTGTGTCTGATTATCTGTATTTTATATTTCTGTGAAAAGAATTCACTCCCTTTCTACTATACGGAATGTTTGTAAATCTTTGCCATTGAATAGTATCAAAGCATCTCACGGACCCTCTTAATATTAAAAGGGAGTTGAGTTTGAGTAAATAAGGAGCTCCAATTTTTGGTGCTTGTTTAATGTAAATCATGAACAAAAGTCCTCCAGCATGCTGTGCTCCAGTGTAAAAAATAAATAACTCGGACTCCGTAACCAATGCAGCAGCAACACAGATGGGTAATAATTGCAGCCCAGACCCTTCCTCTAATTACTGTTAATGTCTAACTTTGCCATGGGGGCTTTTTGACCCACTGCTTCACTGCAGACTTCTTCAGTAACACTTGGCGGCTTTTATTACACGGCTCTCCTATTTTAAGTCCCACCACAACATTTCCAGGTGATTTAAGTCTGGATTGTATTTTGGCTTTCATAATTTGATTCTTCTTCATCCTCTGTGTTCTGTAAGGGATCGTTATCTTTCTTGAAGAGTTCACGTGTGTGCTTCGGCTGAAGCAGGGTAGATGGCCCGATGCTCCGCATTGGGTCAGCAAAGCATCCTGGAATCCCAGTGCTGCAACCTTCGTGCACAGGATGGCCCAAAACTGTTGTGGAATTCATTGTTTCGTTTCCTCCGGACGTTAGCAGCTTTGTAACCCTTTAGAAAGTTTTCCCTCCTCTCTTATCGGTGTCCATGGCATTTCTCCTGATGTTTGAAAGGGCTGCAGCGAAGGGCTCCTTGAAACGCATGGGGGGGGGGGAAAGCATTGGGGGCCCCTTTTGGCTTCACTGCCCTCTTAGTCAGTGCCTTTCCAGTGATGGAGTCACGATGGAGAGGCTTATAGATCCCCGGCTGGTGTTTTTGAGATTCTCCGTGGCATTTCAGGGCAATTTTAAAGTGCAGTTTTGGAGTGATTTTGACAGGACGGGGAACCACGAGATTCTTTTCTCTTTCAAGGCTGCAGATGGGGTGATACCCCCAGAGCTTCAGAAATTGCTCGGTAGTGTTTTCCGGACTGATCAGCATCAGGGACTTTGTAATGAAGGTCTTCAGTCACGCCCCTTGAACCCGTGTGGCAAGCCCTGCATTGTGACGAGAGGAGTCGGTGGGGGACAGGGCTGACCCACCTCAGCCCTCGCACATCTGCCAAAGGTAACTGAAGCAAGGGAGGAGGTTTGATTGCTTGGTCCTGGGGGCCAAGCTGGCAGGCTGGATGACTTTGTCTATGAATAAATGAACTTTGGGGGAACTTGCTGACTCAGACTCTTGTTATGTATCGGCAGGACCTCAAGAGGTTCTGGTAACATTCAGTATAAAAGATATGCAAAAAAAAAATCAGAGGGTGGATATTTTTTTCCACAGAACTGTGCAGACCGGAGGTTTCCCCCTCTTTGTACTGGGTCCTGATTAGGTTCCGTAAAAAAATGAGACCTGCCTTTGTGAAGCTCCCAGGCCAGACTCATTTTTAGCTGTACGTTCATCTTTAATGTCTCTGAGACATTCATTCGTGCATGATCCTGCGGGCGAAGCACCCCAGGCTGGCCTGTGTGTGTTGGGAGAGTGTTGTGCCGTCAGCTCTTCTCCGGGGCTTGCAAGTGGCCTGGCCTTTGGAGCCAAGAGATGGACGGATGCCGTCTTTTGCAGTTCTCTTGCCTGCTGAGAGTACATGAGTAGATTCAGGACCTTTGAATTTGCGAGGCGGACATGTTTTCATAGTGAACCAGTATCACAAAGATGAAAATGAGAAGAACTCCATAAATGAGACTCTTTGGGTAGATTCTCCCCTGAAGCTTGCTCTTTTATATTCCACAGAAACATATAGAAGCATTTTTTTAATCATTATTATTATTTAGCAACAGAAAATTCTGTTTTTTGTAGAAGAATGTCTTTGGCAGCTCATTCCTTACCGTTTACCAGTAGCAGAATTTTCACAACGTTGACACCTGGTTAGCTGTTTCTTCCAAGCATTGTCTTTGTTTAAATGTTAAAGCTTTATTCTAGGCAAACTTCATTCCTTGTCTCTCTTTAACACCTTCCACACTCACTTTATCTTGGCACATTTCTATGTTGGGTGAAGGAGGAAGAGCTCTAAGCCTGTGGAAACAAAAAGAAATATCTCAGATATTTTGCTCAGCAGAATTTTCAGATATATAATTCCAAATCTGATAGCCACTTCACAATATTTAATACTTTTCCATTAGTTTAAGTTTCACTTAATTTGGCTGTTTAAAAACAATGAGATGTCAAAGTTGTAGTATTTGGAAATAGATCTTCAAGATATATAATGATATTTCTTTATCCTGAATTACATTATAGAAAATCCTACGGGAGGGAAATACTTTCTCAACATAGCTGAATCCAGTGTGGCATTCAAACTCAGTTATTCACCTAAATATAATATAGGCAGCTTTGTGTTTATGTTATGAATTTCTGAATTTGTTATTTGAGTGTTAATATCAAATTTGTTTTTGTAAGGAAAAGGAATTTTAGATAAGAGGTGGCTGTCAGTTTTCTGGATCCTGGGGAGATTTTGTAGAAATAAAATTAAAGTTAGGATTGAAACCTACTCTTTTTAAACATGAGAGCTAGGAACTTGATAAATGTGGTGGGATTTTATTATTGGATGGGGAGTACTTTCTTATATTTTGGCCCTGTCGGAGGCAAAATTTCTCCCCAGATTTCCTTTGGATTTGTTGTTTGGTAGCACACCGGCAACCTGTGTTGGAGATAAGATACCATGTTTCCCAGTTTGATACAATAGATCAAATGAAGTCCCTTTGTGTTAATTTTGTTTTCAGAGCTAAATCACAAAGTAATTAAAATGTCATCTTACTGTACAGTTTGTATATATCAATGAGTTTGAAATTTCTATATTGTTTTCTCTAAAGTTCAAAGTTTTTTGAAAACTAATTGTGGCAACTGAGTGCTGAATGTCTCCTTAACAGTTCTCCCTACGGACTTGTTGTTGTTTCAGTTAAATATATCTTGCCACATTTAAACAAGTCTCCGCTCTTATTGTAGCTCTAGCAAACATGTGAGGAGATGAAAATAATGTGAAAGGGAAGCATGAAGACAACCTAATGATTAGCACCAAAACAAATGTTTAATTAAAAGAAACATCATGCTTAAAAGCCCAAATGCTGCCTTTTGGAAAGTAAACCCTGTTGTGGTACGCGCAAAGCTCAGTGTCCTTGCAGTAGATGCAGCTCTAGATGACAAACTGGAGCTTACATTTGCAAGCTGGAATGTCCTGCAGATAATTAAGTTGTGGTCAGGCTTTAGAAAAATACAAAGTTCTCGAGCTATGATTTTGTAAACATGCTGCAATAACATTTCTTTATATTTAACAGTTTCATATAGAAAGCTGATACTCTCACAAGGCATTGATTAAAGGTAAAACATCAAGCAAGAAAAAAATATTAAATTAGAACTTCAGTTAGGATGTTGACAGTTGGTTTGTAATATTAAACAGATGTGCATGTTCTTGAAATAATCCTGTTTCAAAACTTCATTGCCAAGATCTGAAAGAAAGAAAGCTACATGAAGTCCTTTTTACTTTTGGTCTTTCCCTCCTTTTTTTTCCCCATGGAAAGGGGGGTGTTAAAAAAGTTGTGTTTAAGAACAAGTTTTAGCCGGTAGAACAAAAATGCTACCTGTCATCTACGTAGTTTATAATAAAGCTGACATTTGCTATTTAGGTTAAATTCTTGTGTGATTGACAGGGGCAATTTATTGGGTTAGGGTCTGAATGTGTTCTTTTGTATTAGTTTATGAGAAGATACTGAAACTCCCCTAAATTATTTTCTTGAGATGAAGGTTGAGGCAGTATTTGTAAAATGAAATGACTAGCAACGCAGTTATTTTTCTTTCATAATTGTTTCATCTTTTCAGTTTTCATTAAGAATTCAAATCTACAAATGATCCATCAAGTCCTATGTATTCTCCTTACCTGCTTCTAGGCGATACCATCTTATTTCTCCACTGATAAATAAAATTAGTCGCTTTAGTTTTGTCGTGTCATAGCCTATTTGCATTTACTCCTCTTTATTAAAGGGGTCTTAAGGCCGGGGGGGGGGGAGCCACACAAGCAGGTGGCCCCTTTCTGCCACTCCTCGAGAATAAACTCCTGCTCCTCATCGTGCCCCGTCAAACACACAGCTGAAATCCTGATGGGTTTGCAGAGCTGGTTTAAAGATTCTTGGGATTTGGGTGATGAAATGATAAATATAAACAACCACCTATCAGAGATGATTCATCTTTTAATCAGCATTTTATGCTTCCATTAAATGGAGCATCGACCCTTGTTCCTCCATAACAATATCTCTTGCTACGGGGGGGGGGCGGGCGAGACCTGAAGCCGTTCTCTAGGGGCCAAGGTGATTCCCACATTTCTGACCTCCCAAGTCTCTGGCTGAATATGGGACTCGTGGTTTGGATTCAGAGGGTCTCTTTGCTACTTCATGAATTTCTCCCCACTTCGTGAAAGTATTGCCCTGTTTACAGATTTTGGCACTTAGCAGGTAGCAAACGCCCACATGTCCAGGTGTTCATGGGTGTGCTTTTCTTCCATTTTCAGCAGGTATTGGGCTGATTATCTGAATTAGCTTTTCAGGTGAGAAAGAGAAATTTATTTATTGATTAGATTTTTATCCTGCCTTTATTACTTTACATGTAACTCAAGGCAGTGACCATATCTAACATTGCTTCCTCCTCCTCCTCCTGTTTTCCCCACAAGAGCAGCCTTCTGAGATGGGCTGGGCGGAGAGAGGGTGGCCGGCCCAAGGTCGCCCACCAGCTTTCCTGTTTCAGGCTGAACTAGAACCCACAGCCCCTCCACCACTAGGCCAGGCTGGCCTCTGGCTTCCACCTCAGAGGTCCTGGACTCCAGTGGCTGGCACTAGCATCAGTGGCCTTACAGGGCTGTGAGTCGCCATCGCAGGGCCTCCCCAGATAAAGAGCCACAGGTGAATTCACGTGGGATAGGAAGACCATTTACCAAGCAGCATGTGATTAGCATTAATTTCAAATTTACTTCCTTTCCCACATGCTTCCGCTATCCAGCTAAAATATTAATATAGTATAAATAAAATTAATACGTTGAATGTTCTTGTTTATTTAGTGTGGATGGTTTGAATCCACCTTGTATTTTGATACAAGGGTGGTTGATAATGTTATAATATTTTCTTTAGCCTAGAAATGATAGGAATCTTTACAAGAAATTTGTGAATTCCCTTGAAAACTCGATTTAATATATTAGTTCTAGAATGTAAATCAACATTTTTATTTGGAGGGAAAAAATGAGGAAAGAAGAATTTGATCTCTCTGAATTATGGGAGACTATTTTCAGTTTAAACAAAATAATTATGATAGTGGTATTTGAATTCTTCGGAGACACGTGGTTTTAATGTGTGCTGCTTCATAATAGAAGTTGGCTCACTTGACTGAATTCTTTTAAAAATTTAGAGGATTTTTTTGTATGAAAGATTCACACACACACACACCGCAGTGATGCCGATTCTTCAGCACGTTCGCCTCTTTGCAAAGTGAGCAAAGGAGAGGAGGCGGGCACCACTGGCATGGGTTTATTCTCTGCTGCGTCCAGCATTGGGCCCTCTTCACTAGAGCCACAGACACCCCCCCGCCTCCATAGAGCATCAGAGAAATCCTGTCGTTTCAAGTTTAATTGTGGCTTTGAATCTCTCTCTTGCTTTCTCACTGGCTGTAACATCACACTGGGTCCCTTTCGTTGAGACTTCTGCGGGCGTCCTTCAGAGCAGACTGTCTGGGCACGCCTGGTCCTGGGTCTCTGTGCACCAGACTTCCTGCATTGCTGATTGCTGTTCGTGGGGGAATTATTATTGGCCAAGCGTGAATGGACACATAAGGAATTTGTCTCCGGTGCAGAAGCTCTCGGTGTACATACAAGCAACAAGCGATAAATCATGATCATTATCATAAAATACAATAATCATAAACCCTAAGATACAACACTCAGTGATAGTCATAGGATACTAAATAATCAATCAACATAAATCATACTAGGATACTAAATAAAACAATGTAATTTGTAAGATACAAGCAACAAAGTTATAAACATAAGGAAATAAGGAAATAGATAATGGGAAAGATGAGAAGGATAATAGTAATACAGC